TAAATTAAAATATGTGCTTTAAAATAATTTCCCTCATATATTTTAAGGAGAATCTACTATTCTAGTTAGAATAATGAAATTATTTTTCCAACTCTATATGATCCAGTTTTAAAGTTATAGCAAAGTTAATTCAGGAATTACCTGTTACCAGGGCCGGCCCAAGACATGGTGCTGCCTGGATCCAAGTATGAAACACTGCTGCCGCCCCCCCCAAAAAAATCCCAACATATATGCGTCTGCAATGGTAGTGTCTCAATGTGTGTGTGTGCTGGGGCTGTAGCGTGTGTCTGTGTGTATGCTGGGGTTGTAGCTTGTGTCTATGTGTGCACTGCAGCAAATACACTTACCTATACACTGTGTCTGTGTATATGCATGTGTGTCAGTGTTTGTATCTGTGTCTGTATCTGTATGTGTGTCAGTGATTGTATCTGTTTGTCTATGTATCTGCGCTTGTTTGTGTCTGTAGATCTGCATGTGTATCAGTGTGTCTGTGCAACTGTATGTGTGTCAGTAAATGTATCAAAAACTGACACACATGCAGATACTGACACACATACAGTTGTACACACATATAGACACTGATACAAAAAGAGAAGTCCTGCGCTCACTCCCATCACTACTGGGCCGGCAGCAATCACTACAGTACACATCAGCCCCAATATATAGTAAAAACCAAAGTAAGAAGAAGTTACCTGCGCTCTCTCCTTAATCCCTATGTATATTTAGACAAATGGAGGTCATTTAGTTGCTCCAATGGCCATTGGAGGGAATGCCCGCCTGCCAATGTCAAGGCAGACCCCCCTAAGCGGGTCCTAACACTGACCCTTCAGCCTGCTTCCTTGAGCTTCTGGCAAAGATATCTCTAATGAGACAGAGAGGGGTATTTTTTTATACACCCCCATATACTTATTAACCCTTAATAGGGAACACATGGGATGGGCGGCAGCATTGTAACTAGGCTGTGTGATACAAAGTAAATACAAATACAAAAAGAGAAGTCCTGCGCTCACTCCCATCACTACTGGGCCGGCAGCAATGACTACAGTACACATCAGCCCCAATATATACAGTTGCAAGAAAACGTATGTGAACCCTTTGGAATGATATGGCTTTCTGCACAAATTGGTCATAAAATGTGATCTGATCATCATCTAAGTCACAACAATAGACAATCACAGTCTGCTTAAACTAATAACACACAAAGAATGAAATGTTGCCATGTTTTTATTGAACACACCATGTAAACATTCACAGTGCAGGTGGAAATTGTATGTGAACCCCTAGACTAATGACATCTCCAAGAGCTAATTGGAGTGAGATATCAGCCAACTGGAGTCCAATCAATGAGATGAGATTGGAGGTGTTGGTTACAGCTGCCCTGCCCTATAAAAAACACACACCAGTTCTGGGTTTGCTTTTCACAAGAAGCATTGCCTGATGTGAATGATGCCTCACACAAAAGAGCTCTCAGAAGACCTACGATTAAGAATTGTTGACTTGCATAAAGCTAGAAAGGGTTATAAAAGTATCTCCAAAAACCTTGCTGTTCATCAGTCCACGGTAAGACAAATTGTCTATAAATGGATAAAGTTCAGCACTGCTGCTACTCTCCCTAGGAGTGGCTGTCCTGTAAAGATGACTGCAAAAGCACAGCGCAGACTGCTCAATGAGGTGAAGAAGAATACTAGAGTGTCAGCTAAAGACTTGCAAAAGTCACTGGCAAATGCTAACATCCCTGTTAGCGAATTTGCAATACGTAAAACACTAAACAAGAATGGATTTCATGGGAGGATACCACAGAGGAAGCCACTGCTGTCCAAACAAAACATTGCTGCTCGTTTACAGTTTGCACAAGAGCACCTGGATGTTCCACAGCAGTACTGGCAAAGTATTCTGTGGACAGATGAAACCAAAGTTGAGTTGTTTGGAAGAAACACACAACACTATGTGTGGCGAAAAAAAGGCACAGCACACCAACATCAAAACCTCATCCCAACTGTGAAGTATGGTGGTGGGGGCATCATGGTTTGGGGCTGCTTTGCTGCGTCAGGGCCTGGACGGATTGCTATCATCGAAGGAAAAATGAATTCCCAAGTTTATCAAGACATTTTGCAGGAGAACTTAAGGCCATCTGTCTACCAGCTGAAGCTCAACAGAAGATGGGTGTTGCAACAGGACAATGACCCAAAGCATAGAAGTAAATCAACAACAGAATGGCTTAAACAGAAGAAAATAAGCCTTCTAAAGTGGCCCAGTCAGAGTCCTGACCTCAACCCGATTGAGATGCTGTGGCATGACCTCAAGAAAGCGATTCACACCAGACATACCAAGAATATTGCTGAACTGAAACAGTTTTGTAAAGAGGAATGGTCAAGAATTACTCCTGACCGTTGTGCACGTCTGATCTGCAACTACAGGAAACGTTTGGTTGAAGTTATTGCTGCCAAAGGAGGTTCAACCAGTTATTAAATCCAAGGGTTCACATACTTTTCCACCTGCACTGTGAATGTTTACATGGTGTGTTCAATAAAAACATGGCAACATTTCATTCTTTGTGTGTTATTAGTTTAAGCAGACTGTGATTGTCTATTGTTGTGACTTAGATGAAGATCAGATCACATTTTATGACCAATTTGTGCAGAAATCCATATCATTCCAAAGGGTTCACATACTTTTTCTTGAAACTGTAGTAAAAACCAAAGAAAAAGTTACCTGCACTCTCTCCTTAATCCCTATGTATATTTAGAAAAATGGAGGGTTGGAAATCCTGTTTTAGAGTATGACAGGGGCGGCAAAATGCTTCCCCTGGCAGAGTGCCGCCTAGAGCCATGGCTCCAGCATGGTATATTAATGGGACGGCCCTGTCTGCAGCAGCGTACATACCGCGATCGCAGCTGCTACTGGGCCCATCACTCCAGAGGGCCTGGCCGCCCTGCGAACCCCTGCATCCGGGTACCTGCTGCAATGTTTTGCAGCCACGGCCCGTGCGGCAAACCGCCAGTGCCGCATGTTAAGGGGTCCATCGGGTGGCCAAGCTGTCAGAGCCACCTGATGGATATGGATTGTCAGGGGGCCCGGTCTGCGCTGGGTGCTTTAACAGATTACATTACTGCTGGGAGGAAGTGACTCCCTGGTCACGCCTCCCAGCTATCAGAGCCTGTGCGGGAGGAAGGAGGCTGAGCCCCCACTGAACCCCAGGGAAGTCACAAAAGTTAGGAACCATTTTCTATATTTCTGTATGTGTGTCTCTGTATGTATGTGTGTGTGTGTCTGTGTCTCTGTGTGTGTGTATGTGTGTGTGTGTGTGTGTCTGTGTCTCTGTATGCATGTGTGTTTGTGTCTGAATGTGTATGTATGTGTGTGTCTGTCTCTATATGTGTGTGTGTGTCTGTGTCTCTGTCTCTATATGTGTGTGTGTGTCAAAAAGACTGATGGTCAAAGATGGTCAAAAAGACTGATGACCTCAGCAGTGGTGGAACAGACTGCAGAGAAGAGGCAGCCTCTGCAATGTATTGCAAGTAAGTAATGGGTTTTTACTTGCTGTATTGTTACAAAAGGTGGCCCTAACTAACTGTTTGGGGCAACAAAATGTTATGGAGCACTATAAAGTCCCTTTAAAGATCCACCTGTGTCTGTGCCTCTGTATGTATGTATGTGTGTCGGTGTCTCTGTGTGTGTGTGTGTGTGTGTGTGTGTGTCTCTGTATGTATGTGTGTATATATGTGTGTGTCTGTATGTATGTGTGTATGTATGTGTCTGTGGGGGTGTGTCTGTCTGTCTGTATGTATGTGTGGAGGGGGGCCACGGATCGGGGGAGGGAAAGGGGGAGAGGCGAGGGGGGGGCATGGATCAGTTTTGCACCAGGCCACTGCCTGCCTGTTATCATTTATCTTTGTAAATTTTACCCTGAGCCCAGAAAATACTCACATCTAAATAGTAAGGGATAGATATAATGAGAATGGTAACCACAGCATTTGCAGTGCAGAAGGTTGCCTACCCCTGGAGTTTAGAGCGCATTATTGAAATTAACTTGATTTCTTTCCCTTCCTATCCCTTGGCTAGTAAGATAAAGAGGTGAAGCAGACAGGCACATGAGAAAACCTGTAGAAATACTGATGTAGCTGACAACAATGGACCCTACTCTGCGTCTCTATTTGGTTGCTGAGAAGTAGAGTTGAGCGGACACCTGGATGTTTGGGTCCAGCGGGTTCGGACGAACTTTGAAAAAAAGTCCTGGTTCGGGCTCGAACTTGACCCCGAATTTGACCTCAAACCCAAACCCCATTGAAGTCAATGGGGACCCGAACTTTTGGCCACAAAAATCCCTCTAAAAAACTCCTTGAAAGAGCTAGAGAGCTGCAAAAGCAAGTAAAATGGGGGTAAGAGTAGGACAAGTGCCCTGCAAACAAATGTGGAAATTAATATAAATTAACAAATTAATATAACATAAAAATTAAAAATACAGCTGAGCCATAAAATAGCACTAGATAGAATCTTTCATTTTAGCTTTGGAAGAACATAAATCAAAATCTAAAGCATGGCTGTCAGGAGGATCATCAGAATTATCCATTTGAGAGAGGGTTGGAGTGCAGGGTATTTTCTTTCATTGTTCAAACTGAGCTCCTGATGCATGGAGAAAAGGCCTTCACAAGCCTCTGCTATTGTGTACATAGTTTATACTAAGTGACCCATAGGATGAGGAGACGGTGACCATGGCGGTGTATGTGGAAGTGGCGGTAGAGGAGGAGCATGAGGTAGCCAACACTGTTTTTATTTATATATATTTTTTCTTTTAATTGTGGTAGCCCCCAAAATATTGGGACATATTAAAAAAGAAACAATTTTGGCCTGCGGTGCATTTCTTGCAGTCCTGATGCATGGAGAAATGCTCAACTCCTGATGCATGGAGAAAAGGCCTTCACAAGCCTCTACTAATGTGTACCTAGTTTATACTAAGTGACCCATAGGTTGAGAAGGCGTTGACCGTGGCGGTGGAGGATGAGGTAGCCAACACTGTTTATATATATATATATATATATATTTATATATATATATATATATATTTTAATTGGGGTAGCCCCCAATATATTGGGACATATAAAAAAAAGGCAACTCTGTTCCGCAGAGTAGCTGGTGACATTATAGTTGCGCAGGAACTTTGTTGACTCTAGAGAACATCGGGCAAATTGCACATCCCCGTGGCGGCGACTTTGCATGCAGATGTCATCCATATCAACTTTTGATGCCAGTTTCTGCGCCTACCATGGTGACCACCGGTAACGGGGAATCAGGGCTCCATTCCGTACAGGGACTCTGAGAAACGGCTACCACATGCAAGGAAGGCAGCAGGCGCGCAAATGACCCACTCCCGACGCGGGAAGGTAGTGACGACAAATATCAATTAGAGGCCCTGTAATTGTAATGAGTCCACTTGAAATCCTTTTACTCTGATCAATTGGAGGGAAGTCTGGTGCAGAGCCACTGACCCGTGCGTGCTGCAGCTGAAACTCCACTACCGCCTGCTGCTGCTCGCAAAATCTCATGAGGCGGTGAGCAGGAAGGCCAAAGTTACGCTGCAGCGCAGACAGGCAAGCAGCAGCAGGGTGACCATGCCAAAAGCGCGCACAGCCACTACAGTGAATGTCACATCCTGTTCCAAGTTGCAGATAAGTCTGGTGATGGCTTCTGGTATCAAGTACTCTTTTTACTGAAGCTGCATCAGGGTCCTGGTATGTGGCCGCACAAACGCTGGTGCTCAACACCAGGGGGCATGCGATTACCCTGCAGCAGACCCTGCTAATCCATTCCACACTGTGACTGCTAACTTCAACAGAAGGCATACTGAGTCCCGGCCGTCCGACCGCAACCCAGATAGTGTCTGGGTCCTGGTCACCGGACAGCCCACCTCACTATGAAACTACGAATGGAATCTGGTACGAACCCGAACTTTGAAGTCTATTATGGATCCTTTGATCGCTACATGTATTACTTGGATAACTGGTAATTCTCAAGCTAACACATGCCGACGAGCACTAGGGGACGGCCGCTCCGCTTTTGCACCCTGCTCCCTCTTATGCTGTGCTGGTGCCTCTGTGCGACCAGCGCCTCTTCAAACAAATTGCACACGTCACTCGCATGACTTTGATTCCATGTGGGGTCTAGGACCTCATCATCCTCCACATCATCTTCCACCCACTCCTCAACCCCCCCCCTCCTTACCAGTATGCACACTGCAGAAAGCCACAGCAGTTGGCACCTGTGTTTTTCCAGCATGTAAAGTCTGCAAAGGACATATGGAAATTGTTTTACATTTACTCCAGGCAACAGTTTTACCTATAAACTGACCTCTCAGTTTGACTTGTGAGGGTATTGCCCCAGAATTACAATATTGTTGAAGTACCTCTTAGCTTGATCACTGGTTTAAATATAGCAGCTGGTTATCTGGTAGTTTCTAGTGTAGAAAATATCAATCTCTTTTCTATCACTTAGATCTGTGTAACAAGTGTTTTAGGTATGAAACAATATTACAAGTGACCGATGTAGTAAATTCGAATCAAAGTTCCATTTGCAAAAAAGATTCTCGCCCATCTTCTGTGGGTTATTGCATTTTTAAGATGTAGACTTATTGTATCACACTAGCCATGCACAGGTAGATTGTCTGGCACATAGTTTTGGTGTTTGGTTTAACTTTGTAGTTGTGTCTTTACACAATATAGACATGTATATTAATGCTTCTGTATATGTAGCGATCACAATAACACTTATTATTCTCTTTAAAAAAAAAATCAGGCTACACAAAAATTGATAATTCACAATATAACATCTGAAAAGCACATGAAAGGATGCTGTATGATTTAAAAAAATCTAAAAAAATAAAAAATAAAGGTCATGTTCACTAGAGTGCGTAGTCATGAATGTACCCAGTAAAACTTTGTTGTTTACAGCCACTGGTTGGCCCATACATATTTTGAAACTTGTTTAATTTTGTTGTAGCATGACTTGTAGATATGAAGAGCAGGCCCCAAAATGTACTATTTAGCAGATTAGCACACAAAAATTTTGCATTTTTACAAGTGCGCTGTAAGCACACTATTAGATTCTTCTATTTGACTCTCAGATATGAAGTGCACCCCACTAAAATACTGTTTAGCACCCCAAAAAAATTTAAGTTTTAAAACTGCAATGTGACAGCAGTATTTGACGCTTCTATTTGACTCTCACATATGAAGTAAACCGCATGCCGCAAATGTACTATTTAGCAGATTAGCACCCAGAAAATAAGAATTTTTACCACTGTGCTGTAAGCGCAGTATTAGACGCTTCGATTTGACTCTCACATATGAAGAACAGGCCCCAAAATTTACTATTTAGAAGATTAACATCCAGAAAATAAGAATGTTTACCAGTGTGCTGTAAGCACACTATTAGACGCTTCGATTTGACTCTCAGATATGAAGAGCAGGCCTCAAAATGTACTATTTAGCAGATTAGCAGCAAAACAATTAGAATGTTTACAAATTCGCAGAAAGCACACTATTAGACGCTTCGATTTGACCCTCACATATGAAGAACAGGCCCCAAAATGTATTATTTAGCAGATTAGCAGCAATACAATTAGAATGTTTACAAGTGCGCAGAAAGCACACTATTAGATGCTTCGATTTGACTCTCAGATATGAAGAACAGGCCTCAAAATGTACTATTTAGCAGTTTAGCAGCAAAACAATTCAAATGTTTTCCACCGCGCAGTAAGAGCACTATTAGACGCTTCCATTTGACTCTCAGGTATGAAGTGCACCCCACTAATGTACTTTTTAGCATCCAAAACATTTTAAGTTTTAAAACTGCAATGTGACAGCAGTATTTGACAATTCTATTTGACTCTCAGATATGAAGTGCACCCCACTAATGTACTATTTAGCAGCAAAATAAAAATTACTTTTTAAAACTCCAATGTAACCGCTGTATTTGAAGCTTCTATTTGACTCTCAGATATGAAGTGCACCCCACTAATGTACTAGTTTGCAGAATTCTTTCCTAAGCTGTCCCTATCAGCGGCAGCATCCTCTCCCTACACTAATAAGACCACATGTGCATGCGGCGCTATGTGACTCCAGCTTACATATAGAGGCTGGGTCACATGCTGCACTGGCCAATCCCAGCCATGCCATTAGTAGGCATGGCTGTGATGGCTTCTAAGGGCACACAAGTCAAACGCGTGTTGATTGGCTGCCCTGCAGCCTTTGAAAATGCACCATTAAATCACCGAACACCGAACTCCAACCCGAACATACAGTGATGTGTCCGTGTTCGGGTCCGGGGTCCCAAAAACCTAATGTTCGGTATGAACCCAAACTTTTCAGTTTGGGTTCGCTTAACTCTACTGAGATAGAGCAGTGTGGCAGGTTCTACTTACTTTGTTGCATCACCTAAACCTCTTCTTGCCATTCATTACAGCGACATCAGCTTTATATTGCTCAAGGAGATCCCAGATTTTGATCCCTGACACTCCTTTTAGTATTTTTGTATGTATCTAATGGTACCAGGCATAGAGGCCCCTTGTCTCCATTAATGTTACCATTTACCTTGAATAACTACTAATGAACATTTTCATAAGTCTGTAGCATTGACTCTTCATCTCCCACCATATGTAGCCCAACATTTATGAGAAATATTTGTAATTCACACAACCTTGTCTGCCATCAAGTATTTGGCAATTGGTATAACTGTATCCCCCACACAACTTTACTCGTCAAATTATACTCCTGTGCTAACAAGGTTAAAACATGATCTTGAAAACTTCACCTATTAAGCTTACCAACAAAAAGTAATAAAGTTAATTTCAATAAAGTACTTTCAACTACTATGGCAGTGGTGGTCAATTATCAGCACTCCAGATGTAGCTACCCATCTGAGTATATATATATATATATATATATATATATATATATATATATATATATATATATATATCACTTACTATTAAAATTGGGTGTTTTTTGGGCTCCAGTTCAAATCTACAAAGATAAATTGTAACAAATGTCAAAATATGTAGCGACTAATTTGTTTTACTAGTAACAGATAAAAGTTGTGATTTTCAAAGTAAACCTGTTACATACTCTCTATAGTCCTGCTGGTTTAGTACATTCTGCTAGATGGTGTGAACTATATATAGATCTGACTACAGCAGAGATAATGCTGAAAAATATGAGCCTGGATACAATTTTAGGACATTATATTTACACACTAGCTCTGCATAACATGTTTCAAATAAATGTTGTCTTTTAAAATAATTATATAAATAGCTAATAATTCCACTCTCATGGAAATAGCTAAATAGTTATTCCCTGAATTAACTTTAAAATTGGAGTTTTACTATTGTAAAATGTATAGCAGATTTCCTTTAAAATATACGAGGACCACTAATTTTTTTAACCAAATGTATCATTTGGTAAGCAGATTGGGAAAAAAAAAAAACACATATACTCATACCAACGCACAATTTCTTAACTACCTCAAAATGCTTTGTAAATGGGATAATGCAGCTTATCCAAGGTCACATAGTTTTGTATTTTTAATTGAAGGTGTATCCAAGACCCTACAGCCATGACCCAGTTGTTCATGGCTACCCAGTCATTACTCATCTCAGAATAGTCTCAAAGAATCAATGGATGACTGAAGTGATAACTGAGAGGCTTATTTACCAATGTGAGAACTGGAGGGATTTCAGAGTAAATGCTCAAGAACAGAAGAGAAGAACTGGACACAACCATCTAAATACAAAACTTCTTTAGACTTAACACAAGGGCTACACTCTTGCACAATCAATTACACCAATTTACAATAAATGTGAGAATTGTGTCCATGCCAGAACCAAAATTACACTCACAGACACACTGCCTTCATTGTTTTTTGTTCAAGGGGGTTTAAAAACTGTCGTTAAAGCCTTTTCTCTATCAAAATACTCCTCCTAGAAAGAGAGAGGTACCTACAGTGTTTTGATCAAGAAATCAAATGTATAGAGACATGAAATATCATAAACAATGTCATACATGCAAAACTAAAATATTAATATTTAATAAATATGAATTAATGCATATAAATTAATAAATAGTGTCTTTATTATATTTTTATTACCCTGATGAATAGTCCTGTAGTGAAATTAAACATCAACCTTTTTCTGATAGATTAAAAGCGTAATAATTAGGAGTTTTTTTGTATTAAACTGTATTTTTGTTTTTGTGTTGCATGACCCAGAGTGCCAGCATATATGTGTGTATATATATATATATATGCACACGCACACACACACACACATATGTATACACACATATATATAGTTGTGTTCAAAGGTTTGCATAATATATGTACCATTTTTAAAGAAA